TTACGAGGAAAAAAGTGCTCTTTCTGTGTGTTGTCAAGAAAGAATATTAAATATCATTGCCTTAGACAGCGCAAACACTTCCATTTATAATCATTTATCACAATGAAAAGAACTCCTGAGCTTGCAAAATCACTGAACAAAAAATATGAACCACATTAACAAGTAGAAGTAACATTATAACTTGTTTTTTCTTTTAAATTTAGATTGAGATTTGGCAATTTTTAATTCTTGCAGAATAGATTTGTTATCCTTACTAATGCAGAAATACAGCACTTACTGTACCTCTTAGATGACAGCTGTGTTGTGACTTGAACAGCTTCAAAAGCACACGATACCAGAAGAAATGGTATTACAACCTGTTTAAAACACAAACAGCATTCTGGTTTATAACCATATTTACAAAACAAACATGGCAGGTTGTGGAAATATTTTCCAGATTTTGAAATTATCACAGAATGTGTATGTTAGAAAAACAAAATATTGGCAAGAAAAGGTGGAAACGCATTCTGCAATAGTATGCTTAACAAACAAACAGAAAATCCCTCCCATAGTTGTAGCTGAACTGCAGTGAAATAAACCATGAGGCAATATGGAAAACTATAATTAAAACACCCTGATGATCCTCACTTCATTTAGCCCTTTCTTAGCACTGATGATAAATACTTTAGCAAGGCCAAAGGAAAAAACTGTTGAGATGCCAGATCTCACGTGACAGATGCAGAGCTCCAAGCAAAGTAGAATAGGTCATCAAAATAGCCATCAAAAATTAAAAAAAAAAATTAGAATATAGCTTGTATTCAGCAAGATAAAAGTTCACACTGCCCTCCAAACCCAAGGAAAGCAAATGAAAACAGTTCAGTAATTTAAGAAGAAAATAAAGCAAAAAACATTAAAAACATGAGCGCTGCCTTTTGCTCCTTCCAAAGTTGACTTGCATTCCTTAAGTTAGATGTGTGAAAGCATCTTGATTCTTACAGGCTAAAAGCTGTTCCCTAGAATCCAAAAGATTTTCAGTGACCAGTGTCCTGAAGTATAACTGCAACATAAGCCTGCTTTCCCGAGGACAGAAAAAGCAGAAAGGCAGAGCAGGGACTACTGCATATTTTAAAGAAATCTAAGAATACCCTATTTCCCTTCATGTTTTTCTCTTTAGCTCTGCCTTGGGCAGATCAGAAAAGAGCTTCCACACCCTGCCTGTTAGCAAGAAGTGCAATCCAGTCTCTAACAAATCATTCAGATGTTAAGAACATGTTAAAAACAGTACTCATTGTAAGAATGACAGCCTAATCAGGAAAGCACTCAAAGCTCGTACTTAATGTAATGTAGATAGATGAAACTAATAAAAGAAGTATATATTCCCTCAATGTTTCCGTAGATATTATACTACAGGGAAAACTTACCATTTTAAAAAACAATTTAGAGGTCTTCTTAACATTTGAAACTTCCATCTTAATATAATAAACCAATCTAATGCCATTAAATTATACTTTCCATACAGTTTAGTTTCTTTCCTTTGGGAATCAGAATTTAGCTCTAGAAACATTATAAAGGCTGAAAGCTTCACACATGGATGAGAAGGCTAATGAAGCTCAAACAAAGATATATGTTTTTGTAACTACTACGTACGTGCTACATTGTTTATTAAACAGTTCTTTGAGAAAATTTCACCAAGGTAGAATTACTAACCTTCAAGAGAAGCAAGCCTCCCATTATAAAGGGACTGAACACAGTCAGGAAACAATAGACAGACGCAGGATCAAAACTAGAGAGACGTGAAAAAGGCATTACAACATGTCTTCTAAATGGCATTTTGCATTTAAAAACATAGCACTTAGTTCATCCTGGGTACACGCATTTTTAAACAATACTTCTGGATTTCTTTTCTCTTGCTCAAATATTGAATTAGCAAGGATGTTTACACTTCACTTTTCTTTCTCTACAATTTTCTCTGCTGGTGCCTTTTGGGAAGTCATGCTGCTGATGAGCCATTAAGTTCTTTCAACTCCTTTCTATGTAATGAAAATTAAGATGACTTGTAACCAGTGTCTGCTCTTAAGGAACAGGTTACAGAGAGTAGAAACCATATTATTTGTTATCAATATTATTACCAAATATTGCTTTAATTCTGCTGCCCTAATTTTGCTGACTAAATTTATATTTGGTACATCAACTGTAGGATGTATTTTTGTAACCTACTGTTTCTCAAATGAATGAATACTACTTACCTGTTAATGGAAGCTATGTTTCCTGTGCCAAAAAAGGCTGTCACTATGAAGAAAACCTAGATGTATTTAAGGAAAACACACCACAGAAACAGTTGCAGTAAAACAAAGCATCCTCCCCTTCAATCCAATCTACTTCTCAAATCCTGTCATGAAACTCTAAGAAGCAGACCCACTATTACAGTTTCACATTGCATGAAGACAATCAAAGCACTGTCCAGCTCTACCCAAGATTTCAAATATGACTGTGTCAAATTTTACTGATAGAAACTGCATGCATAACATTTTAGTGGCTGTCTTAAAGTCCCCGCCAGAAACTTGGCAGCTTGTTCTCTGGGTTCCTAGCAAGACAGGAACATACCTGGACACAAACAAGCACATGTTTATGCTGACATATTGCATCACCAAACAAAATAGATGACTTTATTGAGGAATCAAATGCGGAAGAGGCAGTTGGCCATGAAACAAGACTAAAGGTTGTTATCCCTCCCACAGCTTTGTCCTCCAAAGGTGCTGAGCCTCTTCATTGCAACATGGGACTCCTACTGTACTCAGGAGGGGTAGGACAACTCTTGCACAATCAGTATAGCTAGAAGTTTTACCAACCTACTTTGTTCATCTAGATATGATGATTGCTGCTATAGCAGCCCATTAAAGATTATTCTACCTTCTGAGCTCATTGGGGCCCATTATGACTCACATCTCTTTGGTCAAAGAATGGTTTTAACTGCTTTTTCTTTCTTTATTTTTCTTCTTTTTTTTTCTTCTTCATTTCATCAGGCAGAGAGTTTGTGACAATGGCTCCTGCTGCTAGAACACCCTCTGGGTCCTTCCGCTCCTGTTACAGCCACTGCATCAGATCATTTAAGTCTCTGCATAAACAGCTTGCTACCAACTATTCAGCAGAATTGTTGTGATTCTGCACACAATATTTCTGAAAGATTAGGTCAGCATAACTACAGAAATTATATCTCCCAAGTGTATCACATCATTTCAAGTTTAGTAACACAGCAGGCTAACAGCATAGCGCAAATCTGTCAGTTGAGATTTATAAGAACAACAATTCTGTAATAAAACAGAAAAAATACCAGTGGCACATAGGTCTAATCAAAATGCTAAGCATATGCAATCTGAATCTCCTGGAAGATAAGGTCTCAGTGCCCTATATAATTTTGGGCCCTATATACAAAGCTTGAAAGATTATTTTCAAGATATACAACTCACAGGGTTGCAGATGCAACGTGATTGTTCTAATAGAAAAGGCCTCTAACAACACTATTTCTAATTGTTGTACATATCTAAATTTAAAACAAGCAAACATCCATGCCTTTTGAACTAGAATGTATCACACCTTTTCTCTGCAAAGGAGACTGCAAATTGTCTAGTTTATTTCAAGACCTGAACAGAATACATTTAAGTGTTTTCATGTAAGATGACATTAAAGTACCATATTTAAGTGTTTGATATTATGAGGTAGTATACTGAAGTTTTAAAAAACAATCTTTTTTGGGGGGAGGAAGGAAGAGGGGTCGGTTAATTTTTCGGATCTGACAGCAATAATTTCACTAAAAGCTTATTTTTTGTATAAAATCCAGCATCAGTAACAAATGAAACAGATGAACTTGCTCCAAGGTCTGATAAGTGGTGCTTCAGATTTCCTGCACAGAGAACACGTGTTCAACACCTAGCATGCTGCCTTAAGAAGGCACGCACCTTCTTTAACAATGAATTGCCTTTTTAATGATGTGACCATCTCACTTCTGCTTCTGCAGATTCCCAAATTCAATCAAATCAACAACACAAACTGCGATTCTGATCCACTCTATCAGATTTGATTATTCTACAAACTATAAAGCCTGTTTTTGCTGGAAGCAGTATTGAGGCAGCTTCTTCCTACCTCCATCTGTGACAACCCACCTGTGATAGAAAGTTGCGTATTCGAGTCTGGCTCATTCCAGACTCTCCCACTTGCATACTCATTACCCTTTCTGCCAAATAAAAAAAAAATCATCAGCAGATACAGTAATGCAAAATAACTGCAATGCTAATAAACAAGCAACCCTTCTCCTTAAGAACAAATCTCTTCTAGCAGCAAAATTGAGTGTATCACACATCCTTTCTAGGCCAGAATCTGGCAGTATGTTTTGTTAGAGTCTGCAGGAGCTTTTCTTCTCATCTCCCCTGATTGGACATGGTCAATGCCCACCCCTTAACAGTTTCTTCCTAGTACACTGTCATACTCTAAAAATGATAAAACAAGAATAATTTTAATATCACTTTTTCCAATTAATTTATCAAGGCTGAATGAATTCCCTGCAGCCAAAATGTAATAAAACACAAGCAAAGTTGAGAACCAGTGTCCTTAGAATAAAGGTTAACTCAACTGCATCAGTCGTCTTTTCCAACCTTAATGATTCTATGACTTTAAGATGCCAAACTTTACTAAGTTGCCAAGAAGATGGATTTCAAAAAAGCGCAGTTCATTACAGTTTTTTGTTTGTTTGTTTTACTGCTGCGTCAAAAAGCAATGTACAAGACCTCTGTCTTTTGAGCAACATCAGATAAATAATCTTCATTATTTTCTATTTCCAACAACTACCAGACTACAGTTTTTGATTGATTGAAAAAAAAAACCAAAAACATCTTTTCCTTGGAACACAGCAGCCAACAAAAGGATACAAAGAAGAAAGACCTGCGGATGTCATCTAGGTGGAGCTGTCGAAACTGAGTTATATCGGTAGCATAGGAGAAGTTGAAAAAAGCAAGCTGGAAAGACAGCAGGAGAAATCAATACATAACATAACGGATGTACTTTGACAGACCCACCATAGTTTTATTGAAATAAATGAGAAATAAGCCTAATTCCCTAGCAGTTGTTATTGGAGTGGTGTTACGCTGAGGACTGCAACCTTTCCTTTTTTTCCTCTTATTATACTTTAATGAGTCTGCCAGAAAGACTCTACAGATGAGGTGATGAGATGAACACAGTGGAGCTTCCACTGCTATCTACGCTAAAAAAAAAAAACAACACAAAAACACAAACCTTCTATGCCCTAGATTTATCATATTTTTCCATCATAAATATTCCTCCTCCTACACACAATCACTTTCAGTGCTCACATGAGTATGTGAAAAAAGACCCACAGAAATAAAGACCGCAATTATCCTTAGTTGACTTACGCTATGAATGAGAATACTAAAATATTCTCCATCTCCTTTAGTTCTCATCACAATAACACTTGACCTAAAGAGAACCGTTCATGAAGTTTTAGAAGCCAGTGAACTCCTTTTCATAGGGGAAAAGAAAAAAAATTCAAATAACAGACTTTCAATGCTGTCAACATTTTAATTAATATTAATCTCACATCAGAAAGCTGAGTTGAATTCTCAAGCACAAGATTTATTTTGGCTAAGTATTAACAGACATCTGAGAGATTATTTTTCTAATCTAAAAGTGGGAAACGAGAGAGCATTACTGTTTCTTTCACTTGGAACCCAAAGTCAGATGACATACAGATAGCGACAATGTAAACACTAATTATGGTTCACTTACATTCTTTTCATTTGATTTTTGATTAATGAAGTGATCATCATTGTTCTAGTCTTCTATGTAATACATTGCTTTAGTAGAATTTTACTTAAAAACAACTAGAAGATCAGAATACTGTCAGGCAGGCAAGCACCACAGATTCTGACTCTTAGCAATTCAGATGCTACAAAACATCCTCACATAAAATATCTCAAGTATATACAGTAAAAACAAACAGCAATTCCCATTTTCATTTCTGAAACCCAGCGTTAAATTGGTAAATTCCATTCTCTCTCAAGCTTTAAAATCATCTCCCCTGTGGAAGAAAAAAAATCACAGCATTTGAGAGATCCACTCTGGTGACTGCTTTGGCATGAAAGTTGTGTATCACCACTCTAACAAGTGAGTCTGGCCATTCCCATGCACTTTCACCCAGATTTTCCCTGACCAGCACCAAGGAGGGCACACTTGGGAGAAGTAGGGAAGAACCAGTTGCATATTTGCCTTGCTTCGAGCACACAGACAGCTCTCCAACAGGCACTTTGGCTCTAAACTAATGGCATAGCCACAGCTTGCTAAAACCTTGACCTAATCTAAAAGCAGCAGTGTAAGCAGCATAGGCTTTGGAAATAGCTTCAAAAATTTTAGGGTGAAAGAAGTTGTGTTGCCATCTATTACAGAACTCTTTCTCCAGGCAAATCCAAGAATGTATGAGTTCCTATTTAGTCTTCAGTTCGCTGTCTGGCTAATTAAAAATAAAGGGCCTTTCTTGATGAAAGTGGCAAGACAAAGTCAAACACGATTTCTTGCATTTCCCATGGCTCATTTCAGAAATGAAAATACTTCTTTTCAGTCTCTTATGTGGACACTCGCTACTGCCATCAGAACAAAGAAAGTACAGTGACACTGTACTTGATCTGAAGAGTTACTGGACCTTACTCTGAATTAGTGTTACAGAAGAGAGCGTTAGTGTCAAAGAAGAGAGCTTTGTATTTGGCAGAACATACTGCTAAGTCAAAATGATTTTCAGCATTCCTAGAAATAGCTCTGATGTGAAACATCTTCTACAAGGTCACATTCCCATTTCATGAGACAGCTGTTACTGGGCTCCCAAGCTCCAAAGAAGAAAATGCAGTCTTGCTCTATGAAAATAACCCAGAGCATTTATTGCACCTAAAGGAAAAAGAAGATGCTTCTGCTAATTTAAAACTGATATAACTATCTGGAGCTGTTACCTTTGGTTTGAGTGAAAGACCATAATGCTGCAATGCTTCTTGTTCCATCTGTATCCACACCAACATCAAACCGGAGAGCACCAGTGGAAATAGAGCTTCGTATCTGATGAGCAACATAATAATCACAGTAAGGGCAGTCACTAGCAACCATTTAACATCAAATACCATCATATTTATTTTTCTTTACCCAAATCATACATGGAAATCACAACTGCCACCATTTCTGAGTACCCACAGGTGGTTGGTGAAGTTTAAAGCCACACCACAATTAAATTGTACCAGTAGGACAGGCAGAATGTTTCAGTTTTGCTCAGTTGTGTTTTGCATCCATTTCTTCATCTGATTGTTGCCACAGCGTTGGCTGAATTCCCACTGGTATGGTTAATAAAACTGATCCAAATAAAATTGAATTTAAAAAGAAACAGGAAAAAAAAGTCACACCCAGCCCTTGTTTTCTTCAAAATTGAAAGCATTACAGTAAGACTTATTGATAACTGAGAAGGTTCAGACCAACTTAGCATCTAGGAAGTGTGTCTCTTTAGGATCTAATTACACAACCTCATACAGGTGACTTCAGACCAGCTGCCAGGAGAAAGGCAGTCGTGTGATAAAAAGAACATCCCATTTTATTGAACTCAAATGTCTTTTTTGTTTTCTACGTATCAGTCTATTCCAGCAGCAATATCCATTCCAACAACAGTGTTAAGTCATACTCTAATCAAGGCAGCTCAGCTATTGTAGCAGCTAGACCTCTTGTCTCACAGGGGCATTGCTGGCTTCTACAACAAACTATGAATGTATTAATCTGAGAAATTAAAACATCCTGACAACTTGGGGGTATAGACTTTCATCAGAAAACCTTGTTTTTCCCTGCCTTCTATGTTCCAGGTGTACTTCACAGTGCTCTCATTTATTTTTTTTTTCCAGATAAAATTCTAAAACAAACAGTGACTGTGACACCAATACTGACAAGACTACTAACTTGTCTAAAATTAAGAAAAAGATTGCATTTAATCCTGCTATAGTCTCTATAATTCCCTGATAGTGTATCTACAGACTGCTTTCAAACTGGAACAAAAGGTTTTGGACTTTTCTGTTTTAATTATAAAAATGATAAGCAATTAAGAAATGTGAAAATGACAATGCTTGGGTTGTCAGCAGCAAAAGTAGCTGCAAGCCTCAGAGTTGTTTATGCTTGCCTGCAAACTGAACGTCTTCAACTGAGTGAGTGACAACTTATAAGCAGCTATGCTTTGCAGCTAGCTTCAATACTTCTACCCAGCTACAGCTAGAAAGGTGCTGAAATATTAACACAGCATTGAGGAGACAATGCAGAACCTGGATTTTGTTGCAATTTTTCTTCTTTTTTAAAAATAATTTTCTGAATTTGTTGGTCTGTGTGAACACTGTAGGAAAGCACCAGAGAGTACTGAAGTGGTTTGGCGCAACGCCATGACATAAAAAGGGAGGTTGCCACTCTCACGAAAAACAACATTCGTGCTTTATCCAGTAGCAGGACAAGTTAAGAAAGTCAAGTGCAAGAGTGTGTGTAATGACAGAAGACTGGAATCACAATTATAATGGTGAACTGGGAGAAAGGGAGATAAAAATTAGAAAGATGTAAGATATTTTATTCCACTTAATTTCCCAGTGCAATTATGTCCAGAGGATAAATGAGAGGGGAGGTAAAAGGGATGGTTCCAACATTCCCCGCTAGTTGTGCTTTTACGAGCTACTGAGTGGACAAAAAGCCAGTTAGCTGACATGGAGTTTTCTTCACTTAAACCTCCAAAGGGTTGTCGTTTGCCCAAGAGAGGAGCAAGCTCTGCTTTTTCTGGGAGCCTAGCACCCTTTTGAAGAAAGTTACTTCCATGACGTTCCACACTTGACTTATTTCAGGGCTACTTGTTTCCCATCACATCTCCTTCACTTTTTTCACTTCTTTTCTTTCTGAACAGAAAAGCACGTGCTAAACAACAGGAGATGTAAACTAAAACAGATTTTTTTATTTTAGTGCAAGACTGTTTGAATATGCATCCTTTCAGTCTCTGTTTGGTCTAGCTGAAAGGAATGTCAACAAAACAGAGAGCTTATAATAAATACAAAGAGAACTGCGGAAGTTCCCCTGAAATATTCCTCAGGGAACTGAAAAAGAAATACACAGTGAGATTAGAGCTGGAAGCAAGCATCACATCCTTTACAGGAATGCTCGTGAGATTCAGCAGACAATTTCACATTTAGCCCCTGATTTTCATATGCAAGAACAAAACAAATAGAGTAAGAAATACCCTGTGCTGAGGAGCAGGTAGGTGGCCATCAGTGAAAGCAGTATGCTGAACAGTCGCTGGAAGAGCAATGTGGGACTCAGTAATGGCAATGCAGAGGAAGAAGCTGCAATAAAGGAAGACCTGTCAGTCATTGCATGCAGAATATTTCCTCCTCGGTAACAAGATAACATTCTTCAAATCTTGACAGTTTTATGTACAAAAATTCTATATTGGTCATACATGCCCTACTTATTTTGAAAAGTTACTTTTGCTGAAGAAAGCCCAAATTTTGGCTTTTCTTTTTCCATTAACCCTTCCCCAGGGTCTCATGGGAGGTGAGAGAAACTGAGAAAACTGAAAACAAGCTACTGGAAGAGAGTGAACGAAGAAGAAGAAAAGTAGTGGAAAAGTATCCAGGTGCTTGAAGTCAGGAAAGGAAGAAGGAAAAGAATTGCTCTGATTTGGCCGTTTTAAACCTGTGGGGATTTTTTGTTTGCTTGTTTTTAAAAATGAAGATTTTATGTAATATACTTATAAAGGAGTGGACAAACAGCATTGGTGTAATTCCTCACTGTAAGAAGGTCCACTCGCTATCCAATAACCTCAAAGGTTGCTTCAGCATTAAGTCATAATTACTCATTCTATTAAGGAACAGAAATCAAACTATAATATACAGTAAGTACATCTGTTTTGTTCAGCTTATTGTCACAGTATCTATGTAACACATCTATGAAAGAGTAAAGAGGCAGTTTCTGCAACCTTCATTTCATTTCATTGCCCAGGGAGGTGGTGGAGTCACCCACCGTTCCTGGTAGTGTTCAAGAGGTGCCTGGATGAGGAGCTATGAGATATGGTTTAGTGCTTGTGGTACTAATAGGAATGGGAAGGTGGTTGGACTAGATGATCTTGCAGGTCCTTTCCAACCTTGTGATTCTGTGATTCTGTGTGATTTCCTGTCTTATAGTCTTGGCCACTGCTACAATTACAGAATAATGGACTTCATCTCAACAGTGCTTCAGCCTTCTATTCCATTTACAAGAAAGGTCGTAAGAAAGGTTGTAAGGAGGATCCGGGGAACTACAGGCCTGTTAGCCTGACCTCGGTGCCAGGGAAGGTTATGGAGCAGATTGTCCTGAGGGAGATCATGAGGCATGTGTGGGATGACTGGGGGATCAGGCCTAGCCAGCATGGATTCATGAAGGGCAGGTCCTGCTTGACCAACCTGACCTCCTTCTATGATCTAGTGACCCATCTGGTGGATGAGGGAAAGGCTGTTGATGTGGTCTACCTAGACTTCAGCAAAGCCTTTGACACTGTCTCCCACAGCATTCTCCTGCAGAAGCTGGCAGCCCGAGGCTTGGATGGATACACTCTTGGCTGGGTAAGGAGCTGGCTGGAGGGCCAGGCACAGAGAGTGGTGGTGAATGGAGTCAAATCCAGCTGGCGACCGGTCGTGAGTGGTGTTCCCCAGGGGTCGGTGCTGGGGCCTGTCCTCTTCAATATCTTTATTGATGACCTCGATGAGGGCATCGAGTGCACCCTCAGTAAATTCGCAGATGACACCAAATAGGCTGGAAGTGTGGATCTGCCTGGGGGTAGCGAGGCCATACAGAGGGATCTGGACAGGCTGGAGAGCTGGGCTGAAGCCAATGGGATGAGTTTCAACAAGGCCAAATGCCGGGTCCTGCACTTCGGCCACAACAACCCCAGTTGACGCTACAGGCTTGGGGCGGTGTGGCTGGAGGACTGCGTAGAGGAAATGGACCTGGGGGTATTGATTGATGCTCGGCTCAACATGAGCCGACAGTGTGCCCAGGTGGCCAAGAAGGCCAATGGCATCCTGGCTTGCATCAGAAACAGCGTTGCAAGCAGGAGGTGATTGTTCCTCTATACTCAGCACTAGTGAGGCTGCACCTCGAGCACCGCGTCCAGTTTTGGGCCCCTCACTGCAAGAAAGATATTGAGGCCCTGGAGCGAGTTCAAAGAAGGGCAACAAAGCTGGTGAGGGGTCTGGAACACAGGGCTTATGAGGAGAGGCTGAAGGAGCTGGGAATGTTCAGCCTGGAGAAGAGGAGGCTCAGGGGAGACCTCATTGCTCTCTATAACTTCCTGAAGGGAGGTTGCAGTGAGCTGGGGGTCGGCCTCTTCTCTCGTGTCATTAGTGATAGGACCAGGGGGAATGGCTTCAAGCTACGGCAGGGGAGATTCAGGCTGGACATGAGGAAGTATTACTTTTCAGAAAGGGTGGTCAGGCACTGGAACGGACTGCCCAGGGAGGTGGTGGAGTCACCGAGCCTGGGGGTGTTCAAGGAAAGACTGGATGTTGTGTTGAGGGACATGGTTTAGTGGGAGCTATTGGGAATGGGTGAACGGTTGGACTGGGTGATCTTTTAGGTCTTTTCCAACCTTGGTGATTCTATGATTCTATGATTCTAGCATCACTTGTTGCTTTCCATGCTTACAGAAGGCCCAGCTTAAGGAGAAACTCCAGGGACACTCACTGCAAGCCAGAGCAGCTGGAAAGAAATTCAGTGTGGCAACTAGACTCTTGTGAATGGTGCTCAGTGCATCAGATGTGCATCACTCTCTGTATACAATCACAGATGAAAACAGATGTGTGTGTGTGGCAGATGATAATTAGCCTTTCCAACTTTCATATGACACATGAAATATTAACCATCAAAAGACTTGCACACTTCTGGCTGACCTATAAAGTCTCAGTACACGTTCCTTGTACAATTACAACGTGAAATTCCCCAAAACTTGGCTAGATGCTATGGTATGCTGATGAAAACTTTAAAATATAATGTATATTGATTTAGAAACATCTGCTAACACTAAAAAGAAGGTTCTGAAGAACATGGAAGTGGCTGGAATCACTTCGTGCCTCCTGGGTTTAGGTCTGTATGTTTGTGGTTACCATACAGGGACTGCAACAACCACACAGTCTAACAGCTGAAGCCAGCAGGTCCTTTTTTCAGGCTTGCAGGCACACACGAGTAATTTGCTTGATTCCTCCCAAACCAGTCTTTCTTTAAAATTTTAATTTAGGTCTAAAATTATTATTTTTTGAAATACGGTAGGTTCCATTTTCATCAGAATGGCTATCTGAAGAGGGGACAACAATTTGTTAGAAAGTCTCAGAAATATCTAGCTTATCATTGTCATGAATAAATACTAATAACTGTATTTCTGGTTGTATAAATAGAGAGGGGGAAAATGACAGCTTAATAAGCAACAGTATTGTTCTTCCACAAGTAAGCAAAAAGATGAATAGACATTTGACCACCTATAGTGTAATCAATCTTGGGAAAGCTACAGTAGATCTTGGTGCCTTATTTCTTATTATAGAATCGTAGAATCATAGAATCACAGAATCACAAGGATGGAAACGACCATCAAGATCATCTAATCCAACCGTCCCCCCATTACCACAGCTACCACAAGCACTAACCCATATCTCGCAGCTCCTCATCCAGGCGCCTCTTGAACACTGCCAGGGACGGCGACTCCACCACCTCTCTGGGCAACCATTGCAATGCCTGACCACTCGCTGAGAGAAAAAGTTCTTCCTTACGTCCAACCTAAACCTCCTCTGGTACAACTTGTGGCCATTTCCTCGGGTCCTGTTTGTTGCCTGGGAGAAGAGACCAAACCCCTTCTCATCACAACCTCCCTTCAGGAAGTTGTAGAGTGCAGTGAGGTCTCCCCTGAGCCTCCTCTTCTCCAGACTGAACAATCCCAGCTCCCTCAGCCGCTCCTCATAAGACTTGTGCTCCAGACCCCTCACCAGTTTCGTTGCCCTTCTCTGGACACACTCCAGGGCCTCAAAGTCTTCCTTGTAGTGAGGGGCCCAAAACTGGACACAGTGCTCAAGGTGCAGCCTCAGCAGTGCTGAGTACAGGGGGATGATCACCTCCCTGCTCCTGCTGGCCACACTATTTTTAACGCAGGCATTATGTCACATTTTTGGTGGATGCTAATGACAAGGCAGATGCTTGCTGTGGTTATGCAACTGCTTGTTGTGCTTATGACAAGGAATCTCTCTTCACTAGGAGTATTGAGGGCATTCCATTGGATGCCCTAGCTTTTTACCTGCTTAGTTCTGTGTTTAATTATGTAAAGCAACTTCAACAAATGCATAAGGCTCCTACCTTGAATATCATATCCACTTGAAAAGATTACTTCCAGTCTGAAAAATGTTGCTAAAATATTCAATACCAGCATGGCAGCAAAGAGGGTACACAGTTTACTTCATTTTAGCTTTATTTTTGTCATAAAAACAACAACATCAGCAAAGAGAATTTCTGATATACTTTTTCCTTATAACTCTAGAGTTCTCTGATTTCCCAAATCTCAGAGATGAAAAACACATTTCTTTCACTGTCACAGAAAAGAATGATAACCTTTACCCTCAGTTCCTGCTACAGTAAGCCAAGCAGGACATCACTGATTTCATTGTCTTTAAAACTGCAAGGAATTCATCCACATAGAGACAAGCATTTAGCTTAATAGGCTACAAAGGAAAAGAGGATGGAAGGAAAACAAAACTACATTATGAAGAGTATTCCCCACACAAACAGTGATCACAATCACTTGTATTGGTCTTGAATTTGTTTACTCAAACAGAAGTAAGACTTCTAGAACTGACAGGATTTGATAAAGTTAAAGCAATGTCACCAGTACAGGAATATACAAAATATAGAGGACGTCCAGCAACAAGAGAACACAAGTCACAGTTCTTCCATTAAGCTACATCTAAATTATAGGTCCTGACTTCTGGAAAACTACTGCTTTCAAATTTGAAAGGGAAATTTTTTGGTCTAAAACAATTCCCACATTTTGGATCAGACAGGGATAAATACTGCCTAACATTTGCTAATGGAGCCATACAGAAATTATTTTACAGCTGAAATACCAAACGAATTACTTTACTTTATATCATAACCCCAGTGATAATTACATTTGCTCTGTTTAATGATCCTACAATTTTAATTTAAGAGCAGTGAAAAATCCAGACTTGTAATTTTTTTCTTTAATAATTAGCTTCTAACAGATATCAACCATATACTAATTTTACTAGTTCATAAGCATTTTCTAAGTGAGCTCTGAAAAGCACATCCAGTAACCCAAGGCTCTTTGCTGTCAGCTGCAGCTTTAGTTTTTACTGAAATACAGCAACATTCTTTTCCTCATGTCCCCACGTTTTAACTGGCTTGTTTGTAGGACACCTCAGATCACTCTTATCTGGCCTCAAGTAAACAAAAAGGGCATTTTTATTACTATAACCCTAAAAAGGATATTTAAAACAAAAGAAAAAGCTACTTGTAAACTCAGTTGTTAGTGTTTTATAACAACCTTAAAAAGGAGTAATATTTTAGAAAATTTCCCAATGTGTTTATGAGAAAAAAACTTACCTTAGTAAACATTATCAAACTTTAAGAAATCAAGAAATATGTGGAACAGTAAGATGTTGATACTCAACCCAATCCCTTACACTGAAAATATTATAAAATAAGTTTGGGAAGCAAGATGCTTACCTAGAGTCGTCCAACTGATAATTTGATTGAATACAGGCAATCCTTGCTTGTTTTTAAGACTGTTATGAGTACTGCTCACAACATACGTTGAAAGTGCAATACTGAACATCTTGGAAGAGGAAAAATCAAAGAAACACACAGTTAGTCTGGAATCTCTGCCATTCCATATTAAATATGCAAATATGCTGTCCAGTTGCATAAACACCTCATCTGAATCAACAGAAGAACAGGAACCCTGAGGAAGACTCTGATGTGCAAGCTGAGTACTTCTACCATTTTCTACCCATAATTTTTTTTATTAAAATAAGTGCAACTGTGATAAAAGGAACCAAACAAAAAGCCAAACAGAAGTACGCAGAGGAGTACATGCCCTTGACTGGCAGCCATGAAGAATCAGCACAACTTCTGGCTGCACTGCAGGACCAGGTACAGGGTGAAGGGAAAGCGTAGTTAAGAGCTGCACAGTTCTTGGGAGAAGAGATAGCAGCAGCACAAACTAGAGGTGTAGTTTAAAGGACAAAGAAGCTGCAGCTTTAGCAAATTGCTCAGATGAAATAGTCTGAGACACCTCAAGCAGAAACCTCTGCTTTGGAGAAGCAGTAAGATGGAAGGGTTTTGTTTTGGGCTAATTCAGGAGATGTCAGCCAGTCATCAAGCATGAGCCAAAAAAAAAAAGGGAGGGGAGAAAATTACCACACTCAGATATTTTTGTAAGTAGACAATTACTCAAGAAAACTTTTGGGCCAAGTATTCAGTTATTGTCATTTGTTCACAACAAATCAAGCATACACAGCACTTTGCAAATGCGCTTTAAAATGGCACTCTAAGAAGCAACTACCACTTCGCTGCCTTCACTTTTTACCATATGAATAGCAGCCATCTCCCATCCAGACACACTGACATCTAGCGGTACCCTGTCCAGAGAACCTGCCCGACAGTCAGGTCCTTTTTGGGCTCAATTTCAGAGGTGCTCAGTATCTGCTCGTTCTGTTTAATTTCATGGCTCAAGAATATATAAGTTGCATTTTTGTCTGACATTAATAAACCAGATCAAAGAAGTACACCTCCAAGAGCTCAGGGAATTGGTCCATTTAGACTTCTGGTGCTTATTTGGGATCTCTGCTGTATTGTGGATATATCTCTCTCCTTCTTGATGCATCTTTTCAACTTCTTTTAGTGTCATGAGTTCTGGTAATCCCCTACTATTTCCTCGTTGCTGGTGAAGTCACTTTGCACCTGTAGTCATCACCCATAGTATAACTTATGCCTTTTAAGGTTCATGATGATCAGAGCGTCAGTAAACTCCATTTACTTCTGCTAGATCTATGCCAGCGCCCTGGTATCCGCTTCAGAGACTTCTGTGTTCACAGTTCAGCTAACATCCAAACTGCTCTCAGTCTTCAAAGACATCTCCAGGGTTGTGGAGCAGCATGGAAGCAACTTGGATGTGTAAGCAGAGATCTCCACCTAAGAACCTGTCTTGTTTCCCCCCTTTAAACCCCCTCTGAAGTTCAGAGATTATTCCTGAGCGGTTTAAGGGCTGACCTCTGAGAAATGGTCATCTACAGGTCTCAGTTAGAAATAGGAAATCAAGGGTGACATCAGCACCTCTTTGCCAGCAACTATCCTAAGCACCACACATAACAGCAATACATGGAAAGAACTGTGTAAGAATCAGAATCGTCTATTGGATTTCTTCTGTTCTGTAACTCTAGAGTTCGGATGTGGATTCCTATTGTGGCTTTAAGTAATTTAGAGGAGAAAATTAATCAGCTGCCACCTTGGACCTACATGAAGCTCAAGTCTCCTAGGAATAACAGTTTGGTCCAGAACAAATCAGCCAGTGGTAACAACAGTGTTTTCAGCAGTGCAACAAAAACTGGACTTCAACTATGAAACTGCTGGCAAAGAGATAAACTCCAGCAAAAAAATTAAGTCACATGGTAAATTCTTCAGCAGTCCAGCTTATGGATTATAAAAAGACCTCAATTTTCACCATTCCTGAAGTCCTCTCTAAGACAGAAGTGGCATTGACCAAAATACAACACTATCCTTGCCACAGCGAAGAAAATTCAGAAACAAAATATTACTCCTGCTTTAATATGAAAAGAAAACCTGAAAATCTCTTGACAATTTTCAGAAAAAGTAAGGAAGTAATTAGTATCTTCTGCCTCCAGGACACAGTGACATATATCAAAACTGCAAATGTAGGTCTAAACATAACTGAAGATTTTGTAACCGAAAGGCAAATGTAATCATAATTTAGTTAAACCTTTATATTTATTTTGTTATTTATACCCTTTCATTGAAAAAAACTTTTTGATCATGATGTTTGGTTGTCTGGGACAACTTGTTTTGGTAAGGCTAAGGCAATGCAGGAAATCCACAATCTCTAGGTACAAAAGACAGTTAACTACTGAGTTGCCTGTAAGCGGACTCTCAAGTTCATACAGGTATGCAGTTCATATTCATTTCCAAGTCATACGTTCTGTCCCATCCATGGGAAAACCAACACAAAAACACACAGTTCAGGACTGGATCTGGATCTGAGGGACTTTGCTTCACTGGGGAGAGCTATGAACAAGCTGTTTGGTTTTTGTTTGTTTGTTTGTTTTTGCTTACTCTGTGGGTCCCTGGTTACTTACATCTCTTTTTGACAACAGGAGAGCAGGTTAATGTAATGGAGCAGACTTTGTTCTTTACCAGTTATAGTGTCTTCACTACTGGCTAGTTCTCAGATACAAAAGGAAGCTCACATGGACAAGAAAGGAGAAAGTTGTCTTCTGAAGAGGAAAAGATCCTTCAAAAAGCTTAGATAATGCTGTGCTTTCCTATTTCTAAATATAGAAGAAAAGCTAGGACCACCAGCTATTCCTTCTCCATTGTTGAACCTACAAAAAAGGTTAGCAAAGTTGCTAAGGGAATCCCAAGGCACACTGTAATGACTGCATGTACAGAAAGGATGCTTTGTTTTTCCTCCTACTTCAGTCAATGACTGACAGGAGGGAAGCACACAAAGAAGAAAGTACTGTAGCAAAGTAAGCTATCCTTTCATTCACCAGAGAAATCAAACAACCATCTTATTTTTCAGTGTAAGTGGTAACAACGTATCAGAGGAAAGCATAACTTTCAGTGCCAGCCTCCAACAAACAGATACATGGGTGCCATAAAAATTATCCGTCAGCAACCTCTCATCAGATGCAAAGCAGGAACCTGATCATGTGTACAAACATCAGTGCCCCAATCAACATCTGTTTTTGCAAGATAGGTACATATTATCTGATGAGAAGATGCCATGAGTTCAAAATACTCCAAATTGAATATTTTCCCCACTTCACTCCTTCTGAAAACTCCAACTCAAAAGAAAAACTAAAGGGAAAGCAAAAGAATAATGTTGTCAAGCAAAAACACCAGTCTTCTGATGAACATTTTCCACTTGCATTCTCGACAGTTCAGAGCAATCACAAACGTTTTAACCATTAAACAAGATCTTAACTGATGAACACCCATAATGCCACTGTAATGCTCTTCTCCCTCTTGGAGTCTGAATGCTCTTCCCAATCCTTTCTTCATCCAGAGTGAATGAGGAATCCCCTATTTTTCACTCCTAAGAAAGCTTTTGAAATAAAAATCTAATGGAGAGTAGTAATTAGATGTCACTGTTGTAAAAATATCCCCTGATTAAGGAGAAATTTGAGGAACTTTACGATCCTCTTGTACGTTGGGAGAGAAAGAAAGATGTTTCTCCCTGAACAAGCAGGCAAAACATTGTCATCTAATTAAGTATCTCAGGGCTTGCAGAATTTCCTGTCTCTGAAGTTGGCTCACGAAGCATCTGGTATTACTCCCTGACTACAGATCTGTTTCCACCTCCCTATTTATGAGTTTCTCCACAGTCACTCTGCTGAGATGCTGTAGCAGTTACATGGTGGGTTGACTTTGGATGGCTGCTAGATGCCAACCTAGCAGCACTCTCACTCCCTCATCCAGATCAGTTGTTTTGAAGCTTTCCAGTGAGAAGAGTCCACGGCTGGGTATATATGTACTGGAAATACACAGGACAGGAGCTGATAACTCTTTTCCAAGGAAAGCTCAAAACATTAAGAGAAACCACCTCCATATTACAAACTTGTGTGCACTCAGGTAAAGGGATTTTAAAACTTCAATATTCTTGCCTCTCCTCTCAAGCAATCTGAATTCCATTTCTGAAAAAAAACACCCAACAATATAATGAATACTGTGCTTAGCTCAATAGGAAATTCCACCATTTAAGTAATAATCAATAAAGCTTTTAAGAAACATTACTAATCCCAAAATAAAACCATTATCTTGTAAGAAGTTTTTTTTTTTTTAAATGAAAATAGCAGACATTCTCAAAGCATTATTAAAATCTTAAAAGCTCTCTAGAACTTAATTAGCAACTGCTATGAGAAAATCTACCTATTTCATGAAGCTGCCAAGAAAAATGCCATCTTCCATCTGAAAGAAGATTTAACAAATGGAACACCCACTCAGAAAATGGAAAGAAATCCTCGAACCAACAAGCTTGTCCTTAGTGTACACAGACAATCCATGCAAAAGTCAGTGTGAATTACATACACAGACTGGAGGCAGGATAAACTCTGAAATTCTTGGAGAAGAATATCAAAATGTGTATAGAATCATAGAATCATAGAATCACCAAGGTTGGAAAAGACCTTCAAGATCATCCAGTCCAACCGTTCACCCATTCCCAATAGCTCCCACTAAACCATGTCCCTCAACACAACATCCAGCCTTTCCTTGAACACCCCCAGGCTCGGTGACTCCACCACCTCCCTGGGCAGTCCGTTCCAGTGCCTGACCACCCTTTCTGAAAAGTAATACTTCCTCATGTCCAGCCTGAATCTCCCCTGCCGTAGCTTGAAACCATTCCTTCTGGTTCTATCACTAATGACACGAGAGAAGAGGCCGACCCCCATGTATGTACCAAAGCAAATAAATACGCACAGTATGAACTTTGAGAACACAGCATTACGATATATAAAATGAATATCATGAGAATATGGTCCTCTTGAAGAGGACAGTAAAGGGGAAAACTCAACAACAATCAATTTATTCTTGAATAACGTGGTAGGAAAAGGTTCTTAAAGTATGCAAAAATTTCCAGGTTAAAACACTAACATTCAGAATTACTGCAAAGTAGCAAGTTACCTGATAAAAATATACTTTCAGATCTTCTTTACTTTGGTATTTATTTTTACTTCTAGAAAAAGATGCCAAGGAGAAGCAAGAGATCAGAAGTGTCACCAAACCAGCAGCTACTCTATAAAAACAAAAGAACAAGAAGAACATTGGAAATGTGACCAAAAAGTACCAAATCAGGTTTTTTCATAGATGTGTTCTTCATTAAGAGGAAATAATTTGTTGCAATTATCAAGACAAAATACATTAAAGAAACTTTAACATTCAGTTCCTGAAAAACAAAATCCAGAGTCACCTATGTGTTTTTCAGAAGCTTTGTGGCAAAAATCACCAAAAATCACATACATGCTTTGTTAGCCATCAATTTTAGCTATTTTCAATTACCTCCATTTGTCACTTGGCTTCAGCACAGAAAGACTGCTGTCCAAAATGTCCATTTGTGACTGTTCTACTCCTGGTGTTGTCTCAGACATAAAAATGTACAATTATTTCATATATAAAATCAGTCTGCTCAAGCTGTATTGCAAAGGTAGATTTCATTTAATGATCTACCCAATACAGGAACACAATTGCAGGCTTCTCAGTCACAGAATGGAGATTGGAAGGCACCTCTAGAGAACAGTCCAGTTCAACTCAAAAGTATGGTCAGCAGGTTGCTCAGAGCAATGGCCCAATTGGGTGTTGAATATTTCCAACATTTCAAACTCCACAACCTGTCTGGGCAATCTGTTCCAGTGTTTGACGACTCTCACTGTAAAAAAGTCCCTTATGTTTAAATGGATTTTTTTTTTTTTTTTTTTTTTTGGTACCTAAATTTGTGCCCATTTCTTCCTTTTAAATGGATACCATTCAATCTGATGCCAAGAATCTGAATCAGTCTTTACTTAATATTAGTCTCAGAACTTGGGGTACACCACTACTGACTGACCTGGACTCATGTCACTGGCTGTAACCCTCTGAACTTCATAGTTCAGCCATTTTACAATCCATCTCACTGCCCATTGACCTAGTCTGTATATTTTTAGTATTTGTTTGAGAATCATAGCCACATTTTCCCAAATTTTCCTTTCATCCTTTTTTGGTGTCTTGCTTGCACTTTACACCCCTCACTACGGCTTTGGCTTTCCAAACTCATTCTGTATATTCAGACTGCGGCTCTACACTCCTCCTTGGTCATATGATTCTGCTTTCACCTCCCATACACCTCCTTTTTACTACCGAGTTCAGTTAGGAGCTTCCTGTTCACACCATACACATTTTATTAATGCACTGAAGAGGCCCTGGGCTGACCTATAGTGACCCTGTTCAAGAACAGCTTTAATAAATGCACGTATTTCTCACTGGCACTTTAATTTCATCCTGTTGTAGCTTTTCTTCCACCATCTCCTTATCTTCAATATCCCGAAGCAACACATATACATTTATTTTTCATTGTTACTTCAAATCTTTTCAACTTCAAAATTCTCTTGACAAGACTCAGACAAGCACAAGCTGCTTCAGAGGTAGAATGTTTCATTAAAAGAATAAATAGGAAGATGTATAGTCAGGGTAAGGTGAATGTAAAGAAATGTCAGGGAGGAAGACTTGAAGGTAATTTATAATTTTATTCCATTTTGATTTCTTTTTAATTTCTAGGCTGCTACAAAGAGTAATAAAAAAAACCACTTCAGTTTGAACCAGCAAAAATTGGTATATAAAGCCAAGAACCAGTGTTATGGCTGTTGCAAATCTGTCTTGAATATTCCTGACATTCCCAAGCAACACAAATAGCAAGGGTTTCCAGTGGGTAGATTTAAACTATAGTGAAAAACACTGAGGCAGAATGTAAAAAATTTGGAAAATATCTGGGCTCAAAATTTTACTGCAATCATATGTTGCTGCTCTCTTCCCATTTTTTTACTGAGGATCAGGCACTACATACCCTGGTTTTGATGGGGCACAGTATCCTCTGTCAGAGAGCAGAAGGAGCTGTTGCAGCCTAGGTCAGTTCAGGTCTCTCTGCAGTAGCTAGAAGGATACCAAAAGGCTAACTCCTTCAGGCTAACCAACTGGATTGCATCCAGATAGAAAAGAATGCCCACACAGTGAAAGACTAGCAGATGACAGAACTCTTGTCACCCTGTTTGTTCTATTTCCCTGAATAACTCATTAGTTACAGAACGTTATTCAAAAACAAACTACTCAATATTAGATGGAGGAATTAAGAAAGATTCTGTCAAAGTAAATTGCTTCTGAATGAATGTTCTTATTCACATCACTGCTATTTACTACATTTGCACCCAAGCAAAGCTCCTCCTTTAACAACGACCCTTATTTTCATGTACAATTTGCAGATTTTGGTATTACGAGAAATGTTTCCCTCCACAAGAAATTACAGAATAATGCAAAGAGCAAATGGCTGTGACTTTCTTTGAAGTACTGCAAGAGTATTAAAAGTCTCTTCTCATTCACATTAGTGAATAACTGAGGTCTCTATAATCAAGTTATTTAAATTCTGAATTTCAATACCTGTCTCAGCCAGCTTTCAATAATGTAATTCCTTGCATATATCAAGTCAGCCTAAATTTTGAATATCAAAGAGGGAAATGATAAGTTTAAAGAACAAGATGAAATTCTTACACCAGAGGAATGTTTGGTTCTCTTCCTACAACAGGCATTAAAGGAAATACTGCCAGGAGCACACACAGAAGAGTCCAGATCAATGTTGTTCTCTAAAGGAAAGAAAGAAATGTGGGATATTTTGAAGTCACACAGGCAGACTGTTGTCTAAACGGAAAAGAAATGTACAGTGAACTAACAACTGCTACAAGCACCTCCCAACAGATATCCCCCCACCCTGTATCTATCATTAAGAAAATGAACTGAAAAAGGGCACAAAGTCATTCACATTAGAGCTCTTCAATTTAATAGAAAATAATCTCATTTCCACAGTGTCAAAATACTATTGAAGACAATCAGAATTAAAGCTAACCTTACACTTAATAGCATTTTGAGAAAGCGTGACCTTCATACATACTGCAGTCACCAGAAGTCTGATGAACAGTCTTATGGAAGAAAGCAATAAAACTGATCTCATCAGAATTTTGCAGCAGCTAACGAATCGCCAATTCTCTAGTAATACAGCAATGTTTCCCAGTTTTTGAATCTGAATGCCCTTTGATTTTCCCACCATAATCATCTAGCTAGTTGTTGAAACTCTGCTATGGGGAAAGAATCCCAGGTATTTTGTTCTCAGTGAAGTCAGCAAGAGCTACATCACTTAAAGTTTTCTACCTCAAGTCAGATTATAGACCTTAACAAGGATATTTTTGGTGCTACAATATGCTTCTTCCACTTTAAGACATGCTGTTGATTACTCAAATACAATTAAAAAAGACTAAATAAGCAAGTACAAACTTACATCTCAACAGTTCTTGCAAAGCATGACTTTAAATTTGTATCCAAATTGCTATTTCAATTTAAATGCTAATTCTTTCCCAGACCTCTAGGTTTTAGGTAGCCTGTGAAGTAAGAATTTAAACGAACAATTGGAACAACTGTCTCATATTAAAGACTGTGCCACTTCAAATCCATATCTACCAAAGTGGACTTTGCTCCTGTGAAAAATGGTACAGGAAGCTGCCTCTGAGGAACAATATATGCCAGCTGACTGCAGACAACAAAGACATGAGAAGCATTTTTCAGTTACTTTTTTTTCTATTCATTAAAAAAAAGCATACTTCTAAAATGGCAGAAAACTTTCACTGATTGTGTATGTCATCGCTTTTGTCATTTTGGCAATTCAACAAACAATGCACATTTCATTTGATTTTAAGCTAATCATTTTTCTTATTTATCACTAACAACAGTAAACAAATAGTTAACTCTCTGCTATCCTGAAACAAGGACAGCAGCAGGATATCTGACAACTGTGATAGAGAACTTCAGAAAAAAATGTAGAAAGTTGTCAGACTTTCTGGATTACAACTGTTCTTGCGTAAAAACACCACACTAGAATGTCAGCTGTCAGTCACAATGTCAGACAAATCAGTTTTGATACCTAAGCTGCATTCTTGCTTGTCTAACCTATGAGGAATCTATCCAGATCATATTAAATTCCTATGCTTTGCTACCTGCTGCTGACAACGGAGAACAGAGTAAGTGTGTAACTGAACAAGAATCAGAAAAGATTTAAACTCAACATCCTTATTAAATGTTTTTTTGGTGTTGTTGTTAAGCAAAGCAAATGCAGTACCTTTGCTTGAACCCACAGCTGTGTGATCATTGGCCAGCCAGCAAAGACAAGAAGACCCACAGTAAGTGTAGAGCGGTAGAAAAAGCTGAAAACCTAACAGAAAATCCAACATCAGACTGAAAACCAACACACATTAAATAAAATTTACAATTCTTCAAAAAGATAAAATGCTAGCAATGAGATACTCCATTGATACATATGAATACAATACTTACTAGTAGTTCAATTCCCAGTATACAAATCAACAGGAAGCCCAAAGACTGACCAATAGGAAGTGACCAGAGATTTGCAGCAGGGTGTTGAATAACATGAAGTCTGTTCAAAACAATGGAACAAGACAGTGATTACTTTAATACAACAGAAATAATACAGAATTTCAGCTTTGAAAGGCAGGGGTGAAGGCTCAGAGCACAAGAAATGATTAAGGTATCACTGATCCTGCCTGCAGCTAGGAGACAGCCTGAGTGATGGCCTGAGGCGCCTTCTGCCCAGTTGAATTTGATATAAAACCTACTATAAAACCTTTCAGGTTTTTTTTCCCTCCCATTTCTGGCATATCTTTGTGAGTATTTGGACAAACTTCAGATTGCTCTTTATCCAAATTGACTCTGAGTTTATGAACATTTTTGGTTATGCTGTGCTTAATGTCAGTCATAACTGATGAAACATTCACAAGCTTTAGACAGAAAAAAAATCCCCAGTTAGCTCTTCCAGTGTTTTATGAGGCAGCTCATTATCTAACTGCAGTTGGTCTCATTTTCCCTGAATAATACCTAGCTGGTATCTACAGAATTGCCAGTGGATTATGGAAGCAATAGCAATCAGAAAATAACAAATCTTTTTGGATGTGGAGCATTCAGTCAAGTTAAAGGAGAGACAAGCGAGACAAGTTTGTTTTGATACCAGAGCACAACCCTTAACTTGGCTGGCACATCCTCTTCAAAAGCAAATGTAGTTCACATACTGAACACTTTGCAGGATCACACTATTTAAAAATAACTGAAAGAAAGGGAACAACCCACTCCGTTTTACAAAGCCAGTCAGCTGCTACAAGTAATTTGCCCAAGTTTTTAACACCCATTTGCTTCAGTTACCAGAGTACTGAAAGCATATTGGAAAGACATGAATTTATGTTTCTTAATAGGAAAATTATCTTTAGAACTGGCAGTTGTATTAATCCATTTGGAAACTGCTCAACACATCAAGTGAAATATAAACCAGAGTACTTTGGAATACCTTAGAAAACATTTCAGCAGTTCTAATAAAATTGTATCTATTTTGCTCCAAAACTTACAAGGAATAGTTTAATTGTCAACAAAAAGGAAACACAGATCTGGTTTTATAAGTCATTCTTTGTAAAACATATTCTTTACTCACTCTCTCACAACTGCATACCATATGGGTACTGGCAACAGACAGTATACATAGTAAGTCCAAGGGCTTGTTTGAATCAACAGGAAAAAAGCTATTACCATCCCAACAAATGTAAAACCATACAAGGGACCAGTAGATTCCTGAAAAACAAACAGTTTGGCAAACATTGCTGAAACGGCAGTAAAATGGTTTAAACAGCACACTGTGTTACACTTGCAAGTTACATCCTAAAGCAAACGTTATGCTGAAATGCTGCTCAAGCTGCCTTGTGACTATGAACACAACTCTGGATGCTATCTCCAGCAAAATACAAAAACTGACAGTAGGATTTGAAATTCCAAATATTTCTCTACATAAGATTCTGCAGTAAGCTCTGCAGAGGTGAAGTCCACTTGTAGCACTCGGAAGCCTAATGCATGCACTGTTACATATGTTCAACAGATGCTTGAAATCCAATGGAAGACAGAATTCTTTGCCTTGGAAAAAAATCAACTCTTAAATTTAGGTTCTAAAAAGAGTCTTGGAGCACAACCTCTTGAGTTCAAGGTAATAGCATTAAAAAAATAAACTCTTCAGGATTTAGGGACAACTACTGAAGGTACCTTGCCACTAGCCTTCCACAGCTAAAGTCCTCTGAGTTACAAGAGTTTTTTCCATCTTTGGACATTAAACTAAACTAGCCTCAAATTTTATTTGCTGCAAACAAAACAGAGACAAAAGCTGGGACAGCAGTGCAGGAGGTGCTCCATCAGTCAACCCAACTTTTCCTGATGCAAAAACAGGGCGGCTGCTGAAGAGCCCATGGAGGCTGATGGGGACTAAACATCAGTTAGCAGCAACCTCCCACTTGTACAAAGAGGAGCATTAAACAGTCAATCCATTCACCTTTCACTAGGCCAGTGAAACACTTTTCCTTATGTAGGGACACTGAGTTAAGGCAAGATTACATACAATTTTAAAGAATTTTATCTTCCAGTATTGCAATTTGAGGTAGCAAAGGCAGCATTATTAACAGCAGCCCCCAGCATAATGCGTAGGCAATGACTTAAGGAACTACTTTCTTCTGTATGATCTGTTTCTTAGAATGAGCTGTTTAGGAAGGTATGTGACAATGTTAAATATGCTGAAGACGACAAGACACTCAATTAGCAGGTCACATTGATGAGTTAGCAGGTTTTGGTTTTCCCCTACTGTAACTGATATAAAACTGCCCTGATCTAAACTGACAGCAAATGCATGTTCTAAATGATTTTTAAAATAAAATTTCTGCTGCCATTAAGGAAAAAAAATGTTATACAGAAAGCTGATCTAATGCAATTTTGTTTTATTAGTTTTAAACTTCACATTTGCAGTCATGTAGGCAAAATGAATATGTATAGCTATGATAGGCACACAACATAATTTATTGTTGAATGAGTAAACACAATCAACGTTTTATTTCATACAGAGGCAAAGATTATACAATCCAATAATTGGTCATGCACTGAAGATGGAAATCAGATTTGCATTTTCTCTGAATGTTTAAAAGCAGATTAAAAGGTTAGGCTTCTTGCTAAGAAAACCAACACACTATTCTAAAAGAAAGATTTTTTCATAAGTAGCACAAGAAACCACAAACTTTTATAGATGATGTATACAGGATATGAAGTTTCATTATTCAAAGGCTGCTACCAGATTTTATAAGGCTGTGCTTCGCAGAAGACTGTCAGTGGTAGATTAGTTTCTCAGCAATATTCTTTAAGTAGCTCCACTATTATCTATAAACCAAATAACTTCCATGTAAGAAGTATTGGTCTCTTACTGTGACTCCCTAAGCATACAGCAACATAAAAAAAATATGCTTCTACAGAAAAGAGTCTGCTGCTCAAACTGCATAAAGAAAATTCTATACACAACATTCTCTTTTTTCCACTGTACTACTGGCATAATGCGTACCTTCAGTGAAATCTCAAAAGAGGCAGGTATCAAATTACTTCAGGATTAAAAATTTTACTATGACTGAAAATATCATGGTTTAACTTTATTTATTCACATTCAGTCCACTTTCTGTAACAATTTAATTCATATCTAACATGCAACAAACATCCTGAACTATTTCTTCTCAGTTATTTGATGAAAGAAATCCTAAGTCATGCACAACACGTATGAATATTTTCCAATTCAGTTTTGTTTGATAACTTTCACTAACGGCCGAGACTCCCTCCTTTCATCCTGTTGTTGAAATACCAAGATAGCACGATAGAAATTTTCTCAGAGTAACATACTGAAGGCAGTAAAGATGCTAAGTGAGTGTGCCTTCTTATTTATATTACCAAATTAAACAATTTAGCTTGTTATGAAGTCTGGGAGGGTTTATTTTTTTCCTAGGGCTTTAATCCTGCCGTAGTGAAATGCTAGCATTTCGCCTGTGCACCTTTTCCAAGTATGTCTTTACTGACAAATGACTGAAACAAAAATGAATTTCCTAGGATTTCATACATTGTGAAAAATCAAGCCATCAGTCTTGTCCAAAAAAGTTTCTTTCAGCTTTTATGCCTTCTGCCTTACTCTTGCAAATTATAAATAAAAGAGTAAGCTGATCTGTGAAATCACAGTTCACTTTTCTATAAAAATAACTTATAAATTTTAAAAAATGCCATCATGGAACCACTTGGAATCTGAAGGCTGACTACTCACTGGCACAGAGGACAGGAAGAAAAGTTACATGCAAATTTTGGGCCTTACACTAGAGAGCAAAAATCAAAATGGAAGTGCAAAGTCTGTATTATTGTAAAAAATTATTATCATTAACAGAGTGCTGGAAATTATTAGCATTAATTGTAATAAAGAAATAGACTCTCTAGTAGTTTAAAATCATTACATCTGCATTGGCATTTAGTAAAATGTGTAGCTGTAGGAAAGAAACTCAGAAAACACAGTAATGCACATTGTGATTTATTGATTCTAGTTCTAATTCTAAAGGACCAAGTAGTAACACCAGGCAGGATGAAAGCATCAAGCTCCCCAGCTTCCCAGTTTCCATGTGCAGTTAAGAGAATTGAGCAGTGGAAGGTGTACAGTTTGGTCTCCTGCACAAAGAGACCCAGCATACAAATAATGCTGAAAACAGAAATCCCAATTTCCAACCTACCTTATTATTACCCTGAGTAGCCTTAATCAAATTGGTGTGAGTCTTAATAATCACCAGAATCACGTAAGTCGTCCATCCCACAAAACTTACTGCAATGCTTAGGCCCAGGAATAACCTGTCATAAGTATGGTAATACGACAGGCCTTCCAAAGCAAGGTTAATCAGGGTTTTGCACAGAGATACCTGGAGGCAAACAGAACATACAAGCATCAGTTTAAAGCAGTCTAAGCTCCGTGCAACAAATCAACCTAACCAACAGCAGCTGAAGCTCAAGCAACTTTGATGCTTGACGTGTGCAATCAGGTGCAGTGTTTCTGCCAACATGTCTGTTGGAGCAGGCTCTGCTTCAGATTCCTGTTGGACTTAAAATCAACCGTCACGTGGCTCCTTCACCACCCTTCTGAGCCACAGCAGTGGTGAGATGATGAAAGCCATGCAGGCAGCACATCTTGAATACCATCTACTATAAAACACATATTTTTCCCATCAGCATTAGAACATATTTGACCTTCACAGGTGAGTCATTAAAAAAGCAGCTCTGAGTTTCTGAAGGTACCACATTTAAATAGGAGGAGAGCTATGAAAGCAGCTGCAGCTAGGTTTTACTCAGTTCTAATCATAGGTCTTTTCTATCTCAGTACTTCCCTTGCCAGTTAGCAATGGCTGGGGAGACACCAAGATAAAGATGGCTGGTTTTCCACTGAGCATCATTCCTCACACATGGGTGTGCTGATCCCAGTGATTTTTCCAAAGATGGGAAACTGAGCTGTGCAATTTGTGAAAACTTCGTGAACACAAAGAATTCTCTGGTTGGTGGAAAGATGTCAATAATAAGAATCTGATTATTTGTGACGCTTCTTTTATGCCTAGGTATCCAGTAATTTTATTTTTTTTTAAATAACTTAGCAAATCTATGAATTCACTCAGCACGGTTCTCAAGTCTAGGCACAGTAGTGGACATTTTACATCCATCTCCCAGTAGAAGCAATATTCTTTTCAATTTGAGTGCTTGAGTTCCAGTTCCAGCCCATTTTGAGAAAACCTTGACCAATAATGTGTCGTTACTCCCTATGACACACAAAATATTAGAATATCTCAAAAAGAGAAGTTGTTCAGCAGATCTGCCCCAATCATATAAGAGATCAGGTACAAGGAGAAGGGCAATAATGTTTAACATGTGTCTTCTTTGAGAAGAAGCCTTACACACAATTCTAGGAAGGGCAAAAAGTTCCTCAAAATAGATGAATTACAGTATGCTGATATCATCTGCTTGCTGCTACCTGTTGAAGTGAGGTGATAGATGCTATTTAAGCCATAATATTAGGACAAAATTCCCAGCAGTTATCAACTGAAAGGGACAAACTCCACTAAAATCATGTCATTTAGGATAAGCAATCAGGAGCACAATCATTATGTGGAGCGGTTGAGGGAACTGGGATTCTTCAGCCTGGAGAAGAGCAAGCCTGGGGGAGATCCTACTGCTCTGTACAGTGACCTGAAGGGAGGTTATGGAAAGGGTGGGATCAGCCTCCTCTCCAGAATAACTAGCAACAGAATGAGAGGGAATGGCCTAAAGTTGTGCCAGGAGAGATTCAGGTTGGACATTAGGAAAAACTTATCTGAAAGAATGGTCGGGCACTCATGAGGAAGGGAGAGGAAGCAGGAAAAAAAAAAAGAGCCGACCTCTAGCATCTCATGGAATTATTCTTCCATGCAGTTGCCAGGTTAAAAGCAATCTCACAGATTAAATTTTTTCACGTGCTTTTTAACACAGAACTCAGTAACTAAACTGAATGCTAAAATGGAAGACTTTGTACCATTTAGCCCCACCAATTATTTCTGTGAGTGTTAAAACACAAACACTGGGGAACTGCCATAACAAAGTGCCCTGTCTCAGCAAGTGGCAGCAAATGCTTAGAAAGGTATTTAAAAACGGGGAAGCACAGAATGATGCTGCAAATGGCTTTCAGTTTCTGACAAACTGAAATGTGAAACAAAAACATGAACATGTGGGTCAGGTAAGAGGACTGCAAAACAAAGCAGGGTCTATGATGAGTGAGACACACTTTTTCATGCAACTAGCAGCTTAGAAAGGATGATTATGAACTACACTCCTTAGTTCCCTTCAAATGAGCTCTATTAACAGTGGAAAATATAAAGATTGTGCTAGTATACTGTGAAATGGTAACAAAAAGATTGAGAATTATGAGGAAAAAATAAGTAAATCAGAATTATTTGCTAGAACTGATGTCATGAAATGCAAAATTTTAGAGACATACGACAGGATTTTTTGCTGATAAGTGAGATGAACATCAAAAGGATGTAAAAAGTAATTTCTAGATTTCCTTTAAGTTAAAGGAATTGAAATGTATTTACATATAGCAGAAGATCTCAGAGTTTCTAGAAGATACATAGCAAAGACACTTACTGCTTCATTGTACTTTTGTTGCTGAATATATTCTCTTGCTTTCTTTAAAAAGTTGATCTGTTCAGAATCAGAAAGTGGTCTGTACAAGAAAACAAATATACATTAACATTAATGCTTCTTTTCACAAACAGAGGAAGAGACACAAAAACTACTTTGTAATCAAAAATGACTCTGGAACAAAAAGTATTCAGAGCTTCGTAAGGGAATAAGCCATTTCTTTTCCACACGAGTCAACACTTCTGCTAACTAATTTACCCCAAGAACTTTTCATTAAGACTTTTATTTTAACGTCAGGATTCCCAACTATTTTGGTAATGCAAATTCTCTCCCTTGTGCGTTATTATTGACCACTGCTGTGGACAAGAAGCACTGCACACACAAGAATTAAGCCATTTAATTGATTTGCTAGTCATGGTTGTAAGCTGTTTGTAAGCTTATCAGTGTAGAATGAATTGTTCAGGTTCCATAGTTGCAATAGATGATGTCTAACAATCTTCTCTTTAAAAAAATCTGAGAGCTTGTCTCCTCTTCCACAGAGAACTATTAGAGTCCCCCAGCTAGAGTTATGGTTGCACTGAGGTGTATGGTGAGAACACCTGATTTTAATGAATTTGATTATCACCCTAAATCATTTCTATGATCCTTCCTTTACAGGAAATAGCACCATGGAAAAGCAAGCCAGTCAGCCGATCTCACTGACCAGAGAAGACAGGAGCTAAGTCCCATTCCACTTTGTTCTAGTTAACCTAGGATGGCAGCAAGACAGCCTCTACCCCCAACCTCCAGCACTACAGGCACACACTGACATGGATCACAGTGCTGTGATAGCTGATCAACAGTCACAGGAAAGCTTTCCTTCACACCCTCCACAATGCCACTGAGGTACAGCACCATGCCCTCAGCACGTGGTGGCCCAGCAGCGTGACACTCTCCCTCACACTCACTCCTCCACCTGCCTTGTGCAGAAATCCCAAATTTATGTTTTAGGCAGTACCAAATCCAGAGCCAGTCTTGGGGTCTCATTCCTATGATTTTAATCTGCAGCAAACACCTGGGTTGCCTCTTAGTTGAACAACGAGGCAGCTTTTGTTCCCACGCCACCACTGCCTTGGAACTCTTATTCCCAATTGTTTGCTATGAGCTTCAGGAACTACTTCTGCTTTCCAGCCAGAAATAGCTGATGCCTCATAAGAATACATACACTATCTTTTGAGCCCTGAAATAGATGAGAAGGATTCTGTGCTTGATCAATTTGAATTTTCATTACTAATAGTATCTTGTAGTATTTTGCTACCGTTTGCTTTGAGTTCAGAGCACAACGCTTTTTCTGTAGGAGTCTTCTACGGCAAAATTGGATCTTACAAGCGCATCCTACTTTTCAAAAACTTAAATAAGTAACTGTATTTTAAATGTTCATGTGTTTTGCACTTAGAAAAATCTAACAATGGTATTTATAAATGAGCAGAGGGAGAGAGGGAGTGAAATTCAATACACTCAATAATATATAAGAAACAGGGCAGGAAAAGATGACAGGGCAATGGCAAGTGTTTGATTATCTTGACTTTAGAGGGGAATTTAGAAAACAGTATTGAAGAGCACCGAGTGAACTCTGGTTATTTCTGCATTTACTGATATTTCTCAACTTCACAGCCCCAAAGGCTATAGAACAAGAGGCTGCCACCCTGTAGCCAGAGAGCATGCACCAAGGCTAATGATAAATCAATGTGGAATCAATTCTTCATGTAGGGTAAGAAGATGCTGAAGGTACTTCCCAAAGAAATCTCTAATATCTCCAGTTTTGCTAAAAGTCTTTTGGCAGAGGAAATTGCCCAAGGAAACAAATCAAGTTGGGAGTTTCCACTGCATGATTAGCAGGCAGAAAAAGATATAACTTAACTTTTAGGTAAGGAATTTTTAAATTTTAAATCTGCAACTAATGTTATGCAGCTTTATTTAGATCTTCGAAACATCGGAAGTGTGAGACAATGTGCACTGTCTCAATGTAACCTAAGGAAACAGCATGGAGCTGCGATAGAAGAGGTTCAAGCTGCGTGTCAGGAAAAGGTTCTTGACAAGAGAGTGGCTAGGCACTGGAACAGCCTGCCCTGGGCAGTGGTCATGGCACTGAGCCTGACCAGAGTTCAGTGAGTATCTGCACAATGCTCTCAGTCATATGGTCTGATTTGTGGGTGATGCTGGGTGGAACCCGGACCCCATGGGCTCTGTGATCTCTATGGATCCTTTCCATCTTGGGATATGTTATGATTCAAATTTTATTGTTGCTGCCAGTTTCACCCTATTTAATGCAAAGGCTTGTACTAGAAAAGCTGTATTTTTATCTTTCACTTTATACCTTTCCATATAGTCATTTAACTATAAATACCTTAAACATCTTTTTACTCTCAATAGTCGTTTTATTACTAATGATAGTTTTAGAGAAAAGAATAAACTGATCAGTTATTTCCCTGTGTTTTAGTATGCAAAAACCCAGAGGCACTACTATTATGCTAATGTATTCTCAAGGTCATCTAAGGTACGTGTGCCATTAATATTAATAGAAATAAAATGAATTTACTGATCGTTATTAGAAAGATAATGAACTCTACAAAGAAACAAAGAAGTTGTTATGGGTGTATATGTTCTTCCCAGCTACCCACCACCAAAATCCAGTTCTACCAAATACAAAATGAGAAGCTCACCCAGTAAAATGAGGTATATTTCCATGACACAACAATACTTAAGTTTTATTCTCTCTATTAGCAAAAGCACACAAAAATAATGCAGTTGGTCAACTCAAATTTGTTCTCCTTTCTTTGAACAAGAAAATATTACAGAATACATCACTCATGTAATGTAAAATGTATCCATAAACTTAAACAACTAAGAACTCAATGGTCACATATTATTTATATTATAAGCATTCACAATGTAAGGGCTGTAAAGATTTAAAATTACATTCTCCATGGAAAATGATGATGGCACTATGAAAAAGCCACCTTAAAAAAAAAATAAAATTACTTATCAGAAAATTACTTATCAGAAATTAGCTCCAACAGGAAAATCCCAGCTTCATCCATGAATAAACATCTTAGTTGAATAAACAATTAGTTATGGAACAAAGCAATTGGGCTAATTGTGCAAGTGCTCGTAAACTATCCCTTATGAGATGTTAGCTTGGTTGGATTTTTTTTATATATATATATTTATATTTATATTTTTATATATAAAGCGCCTATCACCTGATTGATAAACATTCTTTGGAACCATTTTGATGGCAGGGGTAAGAACAGGAGTCAGCCTGTCAGAACCTCAGCATTTCTGTTTCCAACCAAGCTCATAAGTGTACCTGAAAAAATTAATCTTTCCAACACATCATTCATGCCTTATATATAAGTTCAACTATTTGACAGCACTCATAGCAAGACTGTGATGAAGGAAGGCTACCATAGCAATGTCAAGGGGACCTCTCTTTGGCCAGTAAGTTTTATTTATCATCATGCTAACAAATTACCATCCCCATCAGCATGCTACAGACAACCTATGAAATAAAAATCGCGGAACAAAAAGAGACATCTTGCAATTATATCTTTCCCCTCCATTACTAGTATGTTAATTTTATTACATCTGATTATTTGAGTAATGATTTATAGCCATTATTTCATAAAGTACATTTTCCAGAATTGTACTATAAAAAAGTAACCCCTTAAGATCTGTAGTAGTTTAAAACTTAAAGGCTCCAGATTTAATTACGAAAGTCAAGGATGCACATGCAGAAGGATAATGCTTTGTATGAAGAAAAATGCTAAGCTTTTTTAAGATTACTGTTAACTGAAAAACTTACTTCAGCTGTTTTGCTTCAAATGCATGCAAATGTCCTTGCATGTAAAATTGACTGCTCATGCTTGAGAACTTTTAATTTCTTTCAGGAGGATTCAATAATCTCTCCAGGACAAGCTTCACATCTATGATCCACAATGCACAGATGTGCACTGTCAGCTCATGTACATCTACATCCTATTGCTTCCTACTTTCCTCATTAACAAATAATTACACATATATACACACCCATCCCGTGCATCCTACAACACTGCAATGCAATGCAAATGCAAAGACTGCATTTCTATGACTTGTATCCACCAGCAGCAACAGCAACAGCTGCAACAGCAGCAACTGCAACAGCTGCTCAACAAACTAAAATCTTCAACTTTTCATATTGCATAGTTGGAGATGGGGGAAAAAAACAAGACATTCCTTTTGAAAGAAGTTTGAGATCTAGAAGGTAAAGATTCCTTAAACCTCAAACCCTTAAGCCCCAGCAAGATGAGAAAGACAATTGGAATAAAGCCTGTTAGGATGTTGAATGTGAGACAGCAGACCTTCTCATCTGCTTTACTATGAAATTTCTAACCCTAAAACAGTTGGCAGGTAAAGAGGCATCAGCTGGCCACCTGCCAAACAATCCCAGTAAACCCTTTTGTCAAAAGGCTGAGCAGCCACAGATTCTCATCCTCTTCTCAAGATGATTCCTGGCATTTTGACAAATTACAACCTGAAAAAAAAAATGCTCTGAACTAACATTGCCCTTCTCATCACAAAATTATATCTGGCACCATCCCACCCACAGAGCAACCCAAGCTTGCATGGCAGGCACTCACATTTTGCTCTGATGTGGGCACCGAGGGGCCAACACTATAATCTCTGCTCTCACCAGGAGGGAAAATAGCCAGCAACAGAAGTGGTTGAATATATTCAGGCTGTTTACGATCTAGCCCACTGTGAGGGAGCCATACCAAGAAGGACAGATTGCTTCCAGTTCAGCAATCCTGCAATCAGCTGAAATAGTACTTAGAGGACCAACTATTACTATTTTGATCCACATCACTGCTGTTGGCAAAATGGCATCTTAAAAGCAGAGAGATAAAATGGTTCTGGTTATTTTGCTGGGCCGCTACTCAAGATGTACCAGTAATGGAGCAACATTTTCTCACAGCTCTTTTCAAAGCAGCAACAAGCTTCAAAAACAAAGTCAGTCTCCTATAAGATGCCTTCATACATTCCCACCATACAACAGACAGCATT